CTTGGTAGTGGGCAGCATAGGGATCATGAAAGGAGTAATGGTAAGCAGTCTCCTCTGGCTCGCTGTCAGAGTCTGCACTAGAGAGCAGAGGTGTGTGGCAGGGCAGCAGAGAAGATTCCTTTGCTTAAAGACTTCATGCTGAGGCACTGGTGCTGAGAAGAGGAGACGCTTGTATGTTGGATACTTGGATACATTGGAGGTCCCTCAAGTGCCGGAATTCTGGTGGTGTGAGCCAACTCAGTGCCATCAGAGATACCAAGGGGGTTGGAGATCTTGCCTGCACCAATCCCTCCAGTGTTGGATGGGGCCTTGATTCATAGATATTAAGGTCAGAAGGGACCATTATGATCATCTAGTCCGACCTCCTGCACAACGCAGGCCACATAATCTCACCCACCCACTCCTGCCAAAAACCTCTCACCTATGTCTGAGCTATTGAAGTCCTCAAATCATGGTTTAAAGACTTCAAGGAGCAGAGAATCCTCCAGCAAGTGACCCGTGCCCCATGCTACAGAGGAAGGCGAAAAACCTCCAGGGCCTCTTCCAATCTGCCCTGGAGGAAAATTCCTTCCCGACCCCAAATATGGCAATCAGCTAAACCCTGAGCATATGGGCAAGATTCACCAGCCAGATACCCAGGAAAGAATTCTCTGTAGTAACTCAGATCCCACCCCATCTAACATCCCATCACAGGCCATTGGGTCTATTTACCATGAATATTTAAAGATCAATTAATTACCAAAATCATGTTATCCCATTATACCATCTCCTCCATAAACTTATCGAGTTTAATCTTAAAGCCAGATAGGTCTTTTGTCCCCACTGCTTCCCTTGGAAGGCTATTCCAAAACTTCACTCCTCTGATGGTTAGAAACCTTCATCTAATTTCAAGTCTAAACTTCCCAATGACCAGTTTATATCCATTTGTTCTGGTGTCCACATTGGTACTGAGCTTAAATAATTCCTCTCCCTCTCTGGTATTTATCCCTCTGATATATTTATAGAGAGCAATCATATCTCCCCTCAACCTTCTTTTGGTTAGGCTAAACAAGCCAAGCTCCGTAAGTCTCCTTTCATAAGACAGGTTTTCCATTCCTCGGATCATCCTAGTAGCCCTTCTCTGTACCTGTTCCAGTTTGAATTCATCCTTCTTAAACATGGGAGACCAGAACTGCACACAGTATTCCAGGTGAGGTCTCACCAGTGCCTTGTATAACGGTACTAAAACCTCCTTATCTCTACTGGAAATACCTTGTCTGATGCATCCCAAGGCCTCATTAGCTTTTTTCACGGCCATATCACATTGGCGGCTCATAGTCATCCTATGATCAACCAATACTCCAAGGTCCTTCTTCTTCTCCGTTACTTCTAATTGATGCGTCCCCAGCTTATAACTAAAATTCTTGTTATTAATCCCTAAATGCATAACCTTACACTTCTCACTATTAAATTTCATCCTATTAGTATTATTCCAGTTTACAAGGTCATCTATATCTTCCTGTATGATATCCCGGTCTCTCTCTAAATTGGCAATACCTCCCAGCTCTGTATCATCTGCAAACTTTATTAGCACACTCCCACTTTTTGTGCCGAGGTCAGTAAAAAAAAGATTAAATAAGATTGGTCGCAAAACTGATCCCTGAGGAACTCCACTGGTAACTTCCCTCCAGCCTGACAGTTCACCTTTCAGTAGGACGCGCTGTAGTCTCCCTGTTAAACAATTCCTTATCCATCTTTCAATTTTCATATTGATCCCCATCTTTTCCAATTTAACTAATAATGATGATGGTGCCGGTGGTACAGTGCATACTATCAGAATCTTTTTAGTGGAGTGCTGTCTCCTATCTTTGGCCTTCAGTACCATTGACATTGGGTCATTAGGTACATCAACGGCACCTGTCGCTACAAATTTTTGTGAGCCATGGGTTCCAGGCTGGGATTGTCTCGGTGCCTATGGTACCAAGGGTACCGAGTGTGCCAAGGATCTCTTATGGCTAGTTCAGGGCTCACTCTGGGACTTCACGCTCTCTTTTTTGATGACTTACGAGAGGGGTCTGCAGCTGATTTCTTCAACCCACAGTCCTTGGATGTTGAGAGCTGTGGGGAAGACTCACGTCTGCCAGATGACTCTCAGCGCGGATCTGGGGAGGGTTGGAGGGCTGCCTCCATGAAAATAATCTTCTGTCTTAATTCCTTGCCCTTTCAAGACCTGAGTCTGAGTTGCTGGCAGAGACCACACTTCTATGGAACGTGGCCTTCCCCGAGGCAGAGTATGCACTGGGAGTGCTCGTCTGCCATGGGGGTGGCCTCTTTGCAGGAGAGGCACTTATTGAAGCCCAGTGAACTGGGCATATCCTGTTGAGGGAAGGGGTCCTGACGAAAAAAGGGAGGGGGAAAAATAAAGTCTTTTTTTGTTATTGGTTTTTGGGTTTGTTCACGAAAAGTAAAAGAAGAAGAAGAAAACTACAACTAAGATTAGGGAGACTAACTATAGAGAGGTCAATGAAGATAATGATCGCAAATGGACTGCAAATAGCTCCATCTGTAGCCAGGGGCGGTTGAGAAGGAACTGAGGAGAGTTAGCCTGGGTGCACTGGTTAGCCTCATGGCGAAGCACGAGGAGAGACAGCGCATGTGCGGGCCTAATGGGCACTGCTACCGAATTTCTCCCAGCAGCAGCGCAGGAACACAAGGAACACCTACAGTGCAGCCCCTAGAGTGACACTACTCGAAGAAGAATGAGCACTAGCCATCTGGGGAACAAGGCGTGCCCCATCTGGGCAGACCGTGCCCTTTGGGGGTTATGACGCAGGACAAGACACAGAACCCAGTCATCCCATTTGCAAACTTGAGTGATAAGGAATGTCCTTCCCCTCTGCTTTTGCAAGTGGAAAGTGTGTAAAAAGAAGGGACCGATTCTCACATGTGAGATGGCAACGTGGCATGGCCACTTCCTGCACCAGCCCTATCAGTATCAAGATCTCTGCAGGCGAGTCACCTGGAGCTGCCAGAACTGCTTCTTTTAGATCTCTCAGCATTACCTCACACTTGATTTAGTAGCATTTTGTTCTTTATTTTCTGAAGGGAGCATTCTCCACAGAGGCCCTTCTCCTTATCTCTGCACGCCCAATAGCCTTCCTCCACCAACAATTGCTCACGTTTCGGCAGGAGCGCAGGGGCTGCTAGCATGTAAATGGAGCGGGGAACAGCTCAGAACTAGAGCTGGGCAAAGTTTTCTGTGCAACTACTCTTTTCAGTAAAAAAATGCAGATTCAGATTGACTAAAAACAATTTGCAAATTGGGTTCGATTTCTGTGAATCATTTCAGTCAAGGAAAAACGGTTTGGGGGGGGGAATGTTGAAACATTGTGACTTTTTGTTTTGTTTCACAATTTCCCTCAATTTTATTTAAAAAAATATTAAAAACCATTTAACCTCCCAAAATCAAAACAAAAGATTTTGTTTTGGGTCAAACAAAATGTTCTGTTCAGCCCAATACTAAATTTTTCAACTTGAAAAAATCGGAAAAAAAAGTTGTTTCAGGCCAATCTGAAATGATTTTTATTTTTTTTTAATTTGATTTGGTGGCTGAACCAAAAAACTGGTTACTCACACAGCTCTACTCAAAACCACCATCCCCCAGCCTGATCTCTGCACGCTTAATGAGCTTTTGCTCCCTTCTTTGTTGCGAAGGGGAGCCTAGAAGATTAAGATGCTCCCTTACTTTAGCTCCCTTGCTCAAGTGTAACAATTGTAAATCACATCATGTATCTGACAGATCTGAGTGAGACTGTTTCATGCTGCAGCAGCTTGCCCAGGAGTGTGCAAGCCACTGAGCCTGGTCCAGTGGTACAGCCATGCCAGAGAAGCTGCCCGCACAGGGCGCTGGGTCCTGTGAGTGGTGGCCTGGTGTGCGGCTACTTTCGTCACTACCATTCCCGACAGAGCCCTGCAGCTCCTTGGAGATCCGCTTTATAGCTGTAGATATAAAGCAGGTGTCTGCACAGGGCTCTAGGATTCTGGCTGGTATAACAGCAAGCAATTTAGAAGCATATAATCTTCACGTTTATAAACAGCTCTTTAAAGTTGTTCCAATTCCAAAAACAAACACTTTTGCCCTCTCCAGTGAGGGATCCCATAAGTGCCAGAAGACATAGCCCATTAGTTAAGCATGCTCTAAATGCCATATTCCATAGAAAGAAAAGGAGTACTTGTGGCACCTGGCACCAGCAGGAGAGTGAATTTGTGTGGGGGGGTGGAGGGTGAGAAAACCTGGATTTGTGCTGGAAATGGCCCACCTGTTGATCACTTTAGATAAGCTATTACCAGCAGGACAGTGGGGTGGGAGGAGGTATTGTTTCATATTCTCTGTGTGTATATAAAGTCTGCTGCAGTTTCCACGGTAAACATCTGATGAAGTGAGCTGTAGCTCACGAAAGCTCATGCTCAAATAAATTGGTTAGTCTCTAAGGTGCCACAAGTACTCCTTTTCTTTTTGCGAATACAGACTAACACGGCTGTTCCTCTGAAACCTGTCATATTCCATAGAGTTACTGTTTTGTGTACCAAATAGCATGATGCTATACCTACCTGTTTATTCAATATGAATAAAAGAGCAATGCCGAACTTCACTACCATAGAAAATTGTTAAATGCTTAAAACTGATGCATGAAGAAAGGTCTATTCCTTTAGCAGGTGATTGAGAAAGATCCATTGTTTCATGTGCTATTTCTTTAACAGGTCCCTTTTGATTATGTCTATTATTGGATGCATGTGTATGTTTATTCTTTTAATAGGTTTGGTTAGAATAGGCATTCATATATACTGACATAGACAGTATGTGTTGCTTTGTTAGAAGTGTTATTCCTTTCACAGGTCCATCCCAGAAGTAGTTTATTAGAAATATATCATTTTACAGCCACACTTCAGTTGGAAAAAACAAAAACAAAACTTAATTGATCTTGCTTTACTGTTATTCCACTAAAACTGGAGAGCCTCACCTTGGGTTGGAGCACAAACCATTCATCTGTCTGATTTTCAAAATTCCAGGAGTCCAAAGGAATTTCCACCTCCCCAAGAAAGCTGTTGTGCCCAAATCTGTCATAGTGCCAAACAGAAAGTTGGAGGGTCCTAGTCTCTAGCTGTGTATGGCTGATGACATACTATTGAAAGACAAACAGAGTGGAGGATCTATTTAATGAGAGTCAAGTCCAGTTCCATAATGACATTATATAAAAAACATACAACCTTATCCTCATAAAGTACATGGTAGCTGACAAATGAAGCACAGAAGAGACATTTGTTTTCCTTACAAGTGAAAATCAATACAATTGCAGAAGGCTATTATTCAAGGGAGATCTATAAAGGATAACTGTTCACCGTACAGTCTGCATTTATCTGTTTACATTATTTTTGTTGTTGTTGTCACTTGTCTGTATTATTTCTTTACCAGATAGTTTTTACTACAAAAGGAACTTCTTAAAATAACCTTTATTTAATTCTTACACTGTGGCTTCCACGGTAATTAAATAGAACAATTAAAATAAAAGTCTATTCTACAACAAAGAGCCTTTATAAAAAAAAAGTTGGCAGCAGCGTAATGAACTTTCTAAAGTGTCCCCTCTTCTCAGTAAAGTATCGCCACAGTTTTTCAAAAGCCCAAGTGGTTACAAGTGCTAACAATTAAAATATATATTAACTAGCAGATTGTAAGAGGCCAGCAGTTACCCAATTCGAATGATGAGACTTTGCCTTGAAGGCCTGAAAAGGCCAAAAGAATCGATTCTAAGACAGTTTTTAAATTATAGTAATGGGAACAGTTAGGACAAACAGTTCTTCTGCTATTGAATCTAACTATTTAGCTCTTTGTCAGAACATATATAATATTTCATAAGAGTGTTAGGTCCCATCTACACAAAGTTCAGAAGCCATGTTAGGGTTGTCCTAGAGAACAGCGTTAAATGTGATCTTTGCTAGATGGATTCTAACTCACTTTTCCCCACTGCAGACCAGACCCAACTATACTATAAACCATTTCGCAAATGATGCTATAAAACAGGTCCCCCCTTGGTAAACAATCTGGCCAGACCAGGTGTATATACTGTAGTTTGTGAAATGATTTTATAGCCAGATTACGCAAACTACACTGGCCACAGAACTTAAATTAGCCCCTATAACAGGAAACTTATTTGAGCACATTTTTATTAGCCGCCATAGGAAAAAAAAACCCTGTTTAAGTATTTGGGGTGGGATTTTCAAAAGTATCTGAAGGACTTCAGAGTATAAATCCCATTTACTTTCAATGGGACTTGTGAGGTAATTTAGCTACTTTAGAAACTCCCATCATTTGGTTCTAAACTCACTGTACAGGGTGTGACGTTACACCCCATACTCTGCATAGAAATATCGTTATGATATGAATATGGCATAACTAAGATGTTTTATGGAAGATGGGTCGTGTGAGGTGTCATTGAAAAAGTTATGATCTACTGAATGTGTTTATCCAATTTGCATGCATGTATCATTTCTGTATCTGAAGTTAGGAATATTGACTATGTAACAATTACAACTGTGTGTACTTGGGGGAACACCCACCAGACAGTAGGTAATCAGCCTCAGTGGGCCATTAGGAAGAACAATAAGACTTGGAAGTACTTCCCAATACAATAAGACTTTGGAGGTGGGACCCAGCACATCTGGTGGCACCCCGAAGTGGGGGTCCAACCCGTCACAAAGAGGATTTCAATGATTCTGAAACAGATCCCCGAAAGTAAAAATACAATAGTTGATTATCAAAAGTTATGTTGTAACTGGAAAGGAAAAACAAAATAAAAACTCTCCCTCAATACTGAGAAGTCAAAAGCTACAATCACTGTGACAGCTAGATATTTTAACTCAAATATTTCCATTTTTAGCACCATTTCCCAGGTTTAAAATCAATTTCCCAGTGTTTGGCTTATGGTATAAATAAATGAAATAAAAAACAAATTAATTTAATGGCAAAGATCAGCATGGATTACAGGCATGGCAGTGTTCTCACCTTTAGTGTTTCATTAAACTCTGGATTGGTGGTGTTGCTTTTGATTTTGGTCTTGCGTTTACTTTGGCGAGATTTGTCTGGCAGGAGGTATGCTTTGACATAGCTGCAGATTAAGTAGTAAATTATTAACAGAGAATAAAAACAACCAAGTCTGAGAGGGCCACCTAGCAAAATTACACCAGGAGTGTTAGTCAGGAAATCAATTTTTGCAGAATAATCTGTGCATAAATATTAGCGAGAATACAGTCAACAGGCAAAAGTGAGCTACATGTCTACAAACACACAAATGCACAGAGGATTCTGACGGCATCAAGATAATCACAAGAGCAAAGTTTAAGTAATTTGACAGTCCTGAGAAATACGTATAACTTTATTAGCAATTTCCTGTGTTGCAGTTTTTACATTTTTGATTGACCATATTTGCTAATAGGCAAAACTTGAAATTACACACAAACTCACCCTTTGGCCTACCTTCACATATTTATAGAGTTAGAGATTTTTAGAAATTGTTATTAATAGAGATCAATTAATACATAAAAAAATTCTCAAATATTTTAGACTTTTTATTTATATACTATCATATAGTTTACCACAAACCTGGGTAGATGTACACACAATTACTAAAGAAATAAGACATAAAAAGACACGTGTGGGGGCGGGGGGGAAGAAACAAAAAAGACTGACCACTCATTGCATTGTTTAGGCAATCAGATATTAAATTTGGTAATTTCCAGTTGAAATCTAAAATGAATTTGCTTTGGTCATGATCATCTCTTTTTGTGTTCACTTTCTACAAACTTTCATGCAAATGAGTTTTACTAGCATGAATATTTGGGAAAACGCCCTACATTTTAAGTTTGCATTCTCAAATATTGGTGGCAAAGATTGAATTTTAATAGAGCACTGATAGCTGCAAACCGATTGTGACAGTCCTCCAGTCAAGTAAAATAAACAATACTGCGTGGTTTATGTGAGCAATCACAACTAAGCAGCATACTCAAATAGCAAATCAGAGTAAACAAACTTAGGTAAAGTTTTGTCAAGTAACTTTGAATAGCAGATTTGAGAAAGTCATGATCTGTCGATGGATATTCAGAAAAAAGAAGGTTTCAGAGTAACAGCCGTGTTAGTCTGTCTTTGCAAAAAGAAAAGGAGTACTTGTGGCACCTTAGAGACTAACCAATTTATTTGAGCATGAGCTTTCGTGAGTTACAGCTCACTTCATCGGATGCATACTGTGGAAACTGCAGTAGACATTATATACACACAGAGACCATGAAACAATACCCCCTCCCACCCCACTATCCTGCTGGTAATAGCTTATCTAAAGTGATCATCAAGTTGGGCCATTTCCAACACAAATCCAGGTTTTCTCACCCTCCGCCCCCCCCCCCCAAACTCACTCTCCTGCTGGTAATAGCCCATCCAAAGTGACCACTCTCTTCACAATGTGTATGATAATCAAGGTGGGCCATTTCCTGCACAAATCCAGGTTCTCTCATCCCCTCACCCCCCTCCGAAAACCACACACACAAACTCACTCTCCTGCTGGTAATAGCTTATCCAAAGTGACCACTCTCCCTACAATGTGCATGATAATCAAGGTGGGCCATTTCCAGCATAAATCCAGGTTTTCTCACCCCCCACCCCCACACACACACAAACTCACTCTCCTGCTGGTAATAGCTCATCCAAAGTGACCACTCTCCCTACAATGTGCATGGTAATCAAGGTGGGTCATTTCCAGCAAAGATCCAGGCTTTCTCACCCCCCCCCCCCCCCCCCCCCGGGACACACACACACACACACACACACACACATAAACTCACTCTCCTGCTGGCAATAGCTCATCCAAACTGACCACTCTCCAAGTTTAAATCCAAGTTTAACCAGAACGTCTGGGGGGGGGGGGTAGGAAAAAACAAGGGGAAATAGGCTACCTTGCATAATACCCTAGCCACTCCCAGTCTCTATTTAAGCCTAAATTAATAGTATCCAATTTGCAAATGAATTCCAATTCAGCAGTTTCTCGCTGGAGTCTGGATTTGAAGTTTTTTTGTTGTAAGATAGTGACCTTCATGTCGGTGATTGCGTGACCAGAGAGATTGAAGTGTTCTCCGACTGGTTTATGAATATTATAATTCTTGACATCTGATTTGTGTCCATTTATTCTTTTACGTAGAGACTGTCCAATCTGGCCAATGTACATGGCAGAGGGGCATTGCTGGCACATGATGGCATATATCACATTGGTGGATGTGCAGGTGAACGAGCCTCTGATAGTGTGGCTGATGTTATTAGGCCCTGTGATGGTGTCCCCTGAATAGATATGTGGGCACAGTTGGCAACGGGCTTTGTTGCAAGGATAGGTTCCTGGGCTAGTGGTTCTGTTGTGTGGTATGTGGTTGTTGGTGAGTATTTGCTTCAGGTTGCGGGGCTGTCCATAGGCAAGGACTGGCCTGTCTCCCAAGATTTGTGAGAGTGTTGGGTCATCCTTCAGGATAGGTTGTAGATCCTTAATAATGCATTGGAGGGGTTTTAGTTGGGGGATGAAGGTGACGGCGAGTGGCATTCTGTTATTTTCTTTGTTAGGCCTGTCCTGTAGTAGGTGACTTCTGGGAACTCTTCTGGCTCTATCAATCTGTTTCTTCACTTCCGCAGGTGGGTATTGTAGTTGTAAGAAAGCTTGATAGAGATCTTGTAGGTGTTTGTCTCTGTCTGAGGGGTTGGAGCAAATGCGGTTGTACCGCAGAGCTTGGCTGTAGACGATGGATCGTGTGGTGTGGTCAGGGTGAAAGCTGGAGGCATGTAGGTAGGAATAGCGGTCAGTAGGTTTCCGGTATAGGGCGGTGTTTATGTGACCATTGTTTATTAAAACTGTAGTGTCCAGGAAGTGGATCTCTTGTGTGGACTGGACCGGGCTGAGGTTGATGGTGGGATGGAAATTGTTGAAATCATGGTGGAATTCCTCAAGGGCTTCTTTTCCATGGGTCCAGATGATGAAGATGTCATCAATATAGCGCAAGAAGAGTAGGGGCTTTAGGGGACGAGAGCTGAGGAAGCGTTGTTCTAAATCAGCCATAAAAATGTTGGCATACTGTGGGGCCATGCGGGTACCCATAGCAGTCCTGCTGATCTGAAGGTATACATTGTCCCCAAATGTAAAATAGTTATGGGTAAGGACAAAGTCAAAGTTCAGCCACCAGGCTAGCCGTGACATTATCGGAGATAGTCTTCTTGACGGCTTGTAGTCCATCTTTGTGTGGAATGTTGGTGTAGAGGGCTTCTACATCCATAGTGGCCAGGATGGTGTTATCAGGAAGATTGCTGATGGATTGAAGTTTCCTCAGGAAGTCAGTGGTGTCTCGAAGTATTACCAGCAGGAGAGTGAGTTTGTGTGTGTGGTTTTTGGAGGGGGTGAGGGGGTGAGAGAACCTGGATTTGTGCAGGAAATGGCCCACCTTGATTATCATACACATTGTGAAGAGAGTGGTCACTTTGGATGGGCTATTACCAGCAGGAGAGTGAGTTTGTGTATGGGGGGGCGGAGGGTGAGAAAACCTGGATTTGTGCTGGAAATGGCCCAACTTGATGATCACTTTAGATAAGCTATTACCAGCAGGACAGTGGGGTGGGAGGGGGTATTGTTTCATGGTCTCTGTGTGTATATAATGTCTACTGCAGTTTCCACGGTATGCATCCGATGAAGTGAGCTGTAGCTCACGAAAGCTCATGCTCAAATAAATTGGTTAGTCTCTAAGGTGCCACAAGTACTCCTTTTCTTTTAGAAAAAAGAAGCAAAGTCATTCAAATAAATTACCTAGTTCATTTATGACAAATATTTGCAGAAACTATTAAAAATGAACAACATAATAGCCAATTATTCTCTTTGCTCTTGTTCTATTTAAGGATAGTTATGGAACATTATTTTGTGGTAAGACTGACATTAATAGGGACTTTTCACAGGACCATACAATTAACACTAATTAGTTTGTACACTGTCATGCTATTGGCCTGGGGGCATGGATCAGCATTCATGCCACACCCCCCGTCAGTACTTGCCCCGGGCCGGGGAAGCTAATGTTACAACCAGCAGACCAAATTCAGTGATGAATCCTGGTCACACTAAGAAGATGCTATTGGCCAAAAAGGCAAATTACAATTAATCCAGGAGTGATTATTTTCTGTTGTCATCGCATAGGGGCTGAAATTTCCCGTACTGTGGAGACCAGTAAGGCTGTGTTTGCAGAGCGGGCCCAATTACACTATTTTCTGGTAGTGGTGCAGTATCTATTTTTTTTAATTATAAAAAAAGGATCAATGAATAAAGTGGAATTTAGGATTTATATTTGATTTTAGAAAGAGGTATATTTGGAGTGAAGGATGAAGAATGCAATTTCTTTCTACTCTATAGGTTGCTTTTTCTGGCTATGTTTTTATTACTAGGAAATGGGCTGAAATTTCCCCTACTGTGGAGACCAGTAAGGCTGTGTTTGCAGAGCGGGCCCAATTACACTATTTTCCGGTAGTGGTGCAGTATCTATTTTTTTTAATTATAAAAAAAGGATCAATGAATAAAGTGGAATTTAGGATTTATATTTGATTTTAGAAAGAGGTATATTTGGAGTGAAGGATGAAGAATGCAATTTCTTTCTACTCTATAGGTTGCTTTTTCTGGCTATGTTTTTATTACTAGGAAATGGCTATTTTAAATTAAGGGAATTTAGAGTTCTATAAAGGTACCACCCTAACACCTCTGGCGGATAAAGTCTTCTATCAAAGACAGAGCAAACCTTCCCATTCAACCTTGACTCTAGCAGTAAGAAATTAGTTCAGTCTCTGTATCCATTCAGATCCCTGGCCCTTCTGCCCAAATTGCCAATAAAAGCATGTCAATTATTTCCAAGTGCAATAATGGCTGTTAATCATATGAACTCTCCCTCATTAGGAAACACACTGAAAACACCAACTCATTTCACATGAGACTCGAAGCAGTCAGAGTGTTATGGCTTCTGATCACTTGGGACATAGAGGTGAAAGGCTTCATATCCCGTTACCAGTCCACATAGTGTAGGGCTACAATATGTTCTCACATGCAGTCTAGAGATTCAAACTGTGCAGTAAGACTGAGAGCACTTCTAGAAAAGGGTAAGAAGGAAATTCTCTATGCTTACGGATCTGTTCTTTGCTTCTTTTCATCTGCTATGGCCAGGTTTCTGCAGTTTTTTACCAGGATGTTGAGGGCACCCGTTTTGTAGCTGTAGCTGAGGTGGAGAAGTATTTCCCCACTGACCTTCACATTGCCATAGTCCCCAGTTTCACTATAAACACTCATCATGCTGTTAATGCTAGTCTGAAATAAAGACCAAAAGAAGACAACTTGGAAGCTCAATCATTCTCTTTCCAGAACCAGTTTTTTCAAACAATGAGAGCCCTGCAATTACTGTTCTGCTGAACCTGCTATTAAAACTAGGATATCAAAGGACGTACAGAATTACCACTTACTTGATATAGAAAGGTATCACAATATCTCAAATGCCTACACAGTGTTTCTTCATATGTTGAACTCAAAACGATTTATAAAGGGGGTAAAGTTAGTACGATCACCATTTCCCAGTGGGGCCACTGAGTAACACAGAGGGTTAAGTAAATTGTCTACGATCACATAGCAAGTCCCAGGAATAGAGAATTGCCATACTGGGGCAAACCAATGGTCCCTCTAGGTCAGCATGCTGTCTCAGACAGTGGTTAGTACCAGGTGCTTCAGAGGAAATTATATGAAACCCCATCATGGAAATGACACAAAAACATATACAGTATCCTAATAAAGCAATGTCACCTCATCATGGGCATTTCTAAGAGCATAAGCAGGTCTCACAATTTTTAAAATTGTCCCTAATATAACTACTGGAAAAGAATTAAATCTTTGTAAGACAAAAATTAGGACAGTTTGTACATTGCAGAAACCCAAGGCATTTTAAAACTCTGGTGTACATTTTTTTGCTGGCTTTTAAATAATATTAATCAAAAACATATCTAACTTTTGGTGTTTTAGAATTGTTGTATGTAAAAAGCCTGGGTAAACCCCCGAAAGAGTTCTCAGCACAAAGAAGGAATAAGAGGGAACATCAGAAAAGCAGAATATCAGAAAAGCAGTTGACAGGAAGCAAGAGAACTCACAGTATCACCATCTGCTTCAGGTACATTTAAGTAGGAGCATTTTCTGTCAGAGCCTTCAGGAAAGTTCTTTCAGGAAGACAAATGCAAAGGTCAAAAGAAAATAGCATTAGATAGCTGCAGGAAGAATTCAGAAAAGAAATGACAAGTTCTACAGACTAGGTGGGTAGTGTGGTGTTAAACCACAGTGATACAGTACTTACAGCAGTGAGGCACCAAGCCATACCTAAATCCCCCTCCAATAATGAATTGTATAATTGTATAATGAGTGAAAAAGTGTCACCTGCTTATCTGCAGGAATACAGGTTAGTGACAAACGAAGACAGAATCTGCTGTACTAAGGTAGCACCAAACAAATTAAATGTGAACACCGACTCATCAGACTGGGATTTTCATTTTGGCCAAAAATCCTGCAAACACTAGTTAACTCTCTATGTGACTATTCCAATTGAAATGAGCGTCTTGTGTGAAAATTTAAGCATGCATGCAAGTGTTTGCAGCACTGGGGCCTGCATAAGAAACTAGAATTGTGATTAAAGCAAGCTTGTCTGAACACTTGTAGGTTGAGAGGTTAATTCTGGGGAGTTTTTAAGGGTACGTGTAAAACAAAAAACTTTTTTCTGGTTTTACCCTTTATTGTTCCTTTAAAATTGGCCTCCAAATTTTGTGAAAAAAATGCTTTTTGGGTTTTTTTTTTTTAAACTGAAGTATTAAGAACATCAGGGGCCCGTTTTCCTCTTGTTGCTGAAAGACCTTGGCAAGATGTCTGAAGGATCTCACCAGTGAGGTCACAGGAGTTTATAACTTGGTCACAAGCTCCTCTTCGAACCAGCGAAGGGAGAATGTATGAGCCACAGCTTAAGCTATAACCTCTTCTGACATTACTGGTTGTATCCTCCAAACCTCTTGCTAAGGTCCTGCAGCAAAGGAAGGAAAGTAGGGACTGGTGTGCTTATTCTTGATATCTCAAATTTAAAACCAAACCACCAGGAAATGTTTCTTTCCAGTGGAGCCCGGAATTCCATCAGAAAATCCCTACATTGCTAATAATTGCTTTAATAAAATAACAAAGACTAATTTAGAAAACATTTTATAACAACTGAAATATTTCACTTCTTACAATAAAAGCCTTTTGTTTTGTGGGATTTACACTGGGAGTCATGTTAAATATGATAAATGTGGCTGTTTAATGAAAACTTACTTATGTAATGACTGTATGTCTCAAATACCACTAAGAGCATCAGAGTGCAGAGCTTCCTTTTACTCAACATCTGAGGCCTGTATTAATCATCCTAGCATTTTATATCTTACTGGTAAAATATAAGACACTGGAACAAGGAATTAGACCGATGCAATGATCCTGACAAGTTGTTGTGTCCAGTGGTGGAACCCAGGAAAAATAACCTCTCTTTTCTTTTAGCCCAAGTACTGTGGTTTTGATTTTCAGGGCACTCTAATTATCTACACTGTAATCTCCCTACTCAGATTTCTATAAAATTAGGGTTCATTTGACATTTATAGAATTATTTTGTGCCACAGTACAAAGTCATTAGTTTCACTATCAAAGGTTAAAACTCAGCAACAAGCAAATTACTCGCAGCATTTGTACAATGCTGAAGGATGAGATGCACAGAATAAACTAAATAAAATCAGAAAAATGTGAGTATTCGAGATGGGGAATATTAGCAACAACATACATTCAGAGTAGGTCAAAATAGACTAGTAAAACTGTTCCACTCTAGGGGGGAAGAAAAGCTGCTTGCTGATAGAAGCTTTTCCATTAACATAGCATGCAGTGACTTTAATAAGCATGCTGGGGGGGGGGGTGTGAAGAGGAAAGGAGCACTGAGGCATGAGATCATCTCAGTTCTACTGCAGCAGGAAAGCTGCATTTAGATTAGGAGAAAGGTCAAAAGGAATCTATATAGGAAGACAAAACCTACTGCTGAAAGTACCATGGAAAATGCTCATTAAATAAAGTTACCACCTAAGGGCCGTTACCAAGGGAAGTATTGAGCACCTGCAACTCCAGAACTCCAGTCTCAGAGTTCAGACCAAGGAAAGGAATTCATCTATAAAACCTATAGACTGGCAAGCTATAGGTTTTATAGATGTGTTGGCAACGAGTCAAATTCAAATTTGGTTAAGTGGGTGTAATTCAGCTGATTTTGATTGAGTTACAGTTGCTTACTAGGGTTGATTTGGCCTGACATGCCCAAGTCTCTTTTAACTCTGATTCCTTGAATTCCTTGAGACCCTGGAATAAAGGGTTTGACCCAGCTCTTTCTCCTTCCAAAGCAACAAGCTGAATTCCATGCTGACAATTGAACGCAAGTCTTTTGGAGGTGACCTTTACTGGAATTCCATCTGCTTTGTGTGAGGCATTAAAAATACAATACCACATGCCACAAAATAGAATTCATTTCCTAGTGTCATGGCCCAAAATTTCCCTTTCCTTTATATCAAATGTCCTGATCACTAGTTCACCTTGCTACCACCCTCCAACCCAGAGACTGCTGCATTCCATTGGCACTGTGTATATTTGCTGCAATCTTGGGTCCCACAGAGCTATTCTGGCACAGGACCTAAGGGAGGGTGGGCAAGGATGGCTGTATGCAATCCCCCTATCCCTGGAACAGCTGGGGAGTCAGTTAGTCAAATCCCAGGAATGACTTAAAACAGCCTAAGGATGGCTCTAATTTATGGTTTCCTGCAGTGTGCACCACTCAGGCCCCTTCCCCTCAGCATGACTCCTATCTCAAGGAGTATAAATTGACTATGTAGTGCTGGTTACACCAACTCTATCCCATCTGGGATTCCTCTGCTTTAAGGGGATCCACAGCTTACCACTTCAAACAAACCTAAGGCTGCTTTACACTCCTAGAATAGCACAAAGCAGCCTTCTTAGGGCTAAGGATCTGGTTCACTGTCTATAGTTTGTGAAGCGTCCTGGGAATGAAAAGCTGTTGCAGAAATATACAGTAGTTTTCATGGAAAGCAGAAATGCTTTCAGCAAAGCTGATCCCCAAATATCTTACTCTATGCATATGAAATGTCTTGAAACCTATGAGCCACACTGGGATTGTGTTGCATAGAGAATGGAATATATGTGGGGAGTTGGGGTCACCATTAGTACCAACTCCATATGGGTTATGAAGCTACTGACACACGATGCAAATGCATAAAATGAAAGCACTTGTATGTTGCAGGGAGCTTAAAAAATGTTCAGTTTTTTCAGAGTGAGCCCAACCATTCACAACCCCACCAAAGACTGCAATGAGAAGGCAGGAAAGACAGAACAGGGTGGGATCCTCTTTCAATGAAATGAAGAAGCTTCAAATCAATCATTTTTCTAGGCTAACTCTGAAAAACTGAGCTTGTTGCACACTATAAATCCCTATTTTTAATTTCTCCAGGTACAGGCCTGTATCTCACATCATCATTTATCAGGAGCTAGGGTTGCTAGTTTTTGTTGGAAGTATTCCTGGAGGTTTCATCACATGACATTAATCTTTAATTCCTGGAGACTCCAGGGAAATTCTGGAGGGTTGGCAACCCTAGCCAGGAGCCCGTGAGCAATGGCTATTGTTTACTCTCTTCCCCCGTCGCCCCCAGACAAGCCCGCTATCCCTCAACTATCAATAAAAATCTTTTCTATCAAAAGGATAAATTGTGCCTCTATCCCCTTCCCAATTCCTCAGAACTTAGGGAATTTCCATTGCTACACTTCACCGAAACTATTAAAAAAGAATCAAGACTGAGCATTTTCCTTTCCGCTGTTTGGCACAATTTAAATAAATACAGACATTTGCTATCCTTGGTGTCTTGTGAAAAATGTTTTAACTTCTGAATAGGCTTGTCTGACTGTGGCCAGAAGTCAGGCATAGTGGATGGAAATCACACGTCCTTCTGATAATGGGACAGTCATTACAAGTGACAGAGGATTTTATTTTAAAACCACATTATCTCCTCATATCAGTACCAGCTTTTCTAGATTTGCTCATTTTGACAGAGCATCTAGATTGGCCAGATGTTTCAGGTTTCCTACTCATTTTTTTTCATGTTGAAATTTCTCACTGTTCACATACAGCATCTGCCAAACAGATCACAGTTACAATTAATGACGGTTAATAAGACGATTAAGAGCCTGATACTGAGTGCCCCGTCCACACCTTCTTTTGAGATCATTTCAAGGTGAGGGCACTCAGCACTTTGGACAAGGTGCTCAGCATCTCCGGAGATCAGGTCCCAAGTCATCAGTGTGCAGGGAGGACAGCTACACTATAAACAACAATGGATCTCTGCTTCAGTACTGATGGCAGAGAATGGCATTTTAGCTTTACAGATAGGGATACTAAAACCACAACAAACAGAAAAATCACCAAGAAGTCAAAGTTGCTACTAAACAGCAGTAGGAAAGGAGGTCTGGATATGAATCAATACAAAAAATATCTACTGAATGAAATTGAATGCTCAGTGTGCGTTCTGTGTCATTAGCCCACATCTATTTCAGCAAGAAACTGCTTAGTGAGAAAGAATGAGGGAATTCTAGATGTTTTCCAATGGAGACCTTACTGTTGATAATCCACTTGCCAAATGTCTGCGATGTTTTAGATAATGAGAGGTCACTATGTCATCAGGGTCTTCCTCTATCTCGTCCAGGTAATCCTAACCGCAAAGAAAGAAAGAAAGTCATTCAATTACTGTATATTACTGTCAACTGTATATCTGACTCCTTCCTTGGGTTCTATTCCATATTTTTCTATTTAAGAAAGATTGTGTCAACACATCTCCCAAACTCAAGTCTCGAGAGACTTTTGATTCACACTTTCAACAATTTTACACAGTCACAATCAGTATACCAGGAACAAAGGGCGCTTCTGGTTCACCTTTCAGCTGTTTGAAAACTGTAAAACCTCCAGGCTTCTATGTCCCCAGAGTAGGAAATGGATTTTTACCTTACATGGTGGGGCACTGCATTACGAAGTCGATTTCCAAGCACCCTACATTCTCAGTAGCACACCTGAATTACCCTATTCTGCTATTACTGCTAGGCATCTTCACACACGTATTTAGGTTGGGAAACAAGGGAGGGACGGAGTAGGTGTTTTTCAATCTTAAGAAAATAAATATGTGAACTGGATGGCTTTGGATACCAGTTATGGGTTATGGAGGCTTCAACCTTTAAGTCATCAACTAAATTCAGCCCAAATCCATAGTGACCACAAGTTATTCCTACCATTAACTAGCTATTCAGTGAGCTGAGTTTCTGATCTCAGTCCAGTTTCTAATGGACATGTTTACATAACAACTAATCCACACCACTAGTAATATTAATTTTCATCCTTGTTGGCAATCGTAGCAGACAGACAAAGGACTGATTAAATATAAAAACAATATATAAAAACTACTTTTTGACTGGTATTTTGAGTGCTCCAAGTCATGGTTGTGGACATTGAAAGAAACGTGTCCTACCACTGTCTGTGCTGAACATAGCAGCTGAATAAACAGAAAAATGTGGTTTCCAGAAAAGTCATTCTGGAAATTTTCAAGAAGATTATATTCATAGTTCTTTTTTCTTCAGCATTATAAAATTTTAACAAAGAAATGATATTTTCATAGATAGATAGATAGATAGAATTTGCATTTTAGTAAATTACCTAATTCTTACACCTTGGGCACACCTTAGGTAATTATAAACTAAAACTATTAACTGAAACTTGAAAGCAGATGATTAACAGGAATGTTAGCTTTTGAAAAAAACCCAAACAAACAGAAAGTTACCATTCTATTATGAGTCATGTGGAGACTTCATAGGTTTTAACAAGCATTATAGATGTAAGCAGAATCTGAATGAGTTCTCCCCTGACAGCCAGCTGGGATGGGGAGAGACTTCAGGAGCAAACTGTGTTTACATGAACACACCTACTCTGCCTAAATATCCAGCAGATAGAGTGGTGTTGCTCAAAGTGATCAACTTTGGCTGGTGTTAGGTTACAAATCACTTTAGCACTGAATGCAGAGGTAATGAAATGTTATCAATTTTGTTGTCTTGATTGTATGAATAAAGGGGAGCAAAACTATGCTTAACCTGTCCCAAATGAGGGGGTCACCCTCAACTGAAAGGACATCGTTAAGCCAGGGGCTCAAATGCCAGACCCCTGTAAAAGTAAGAGAGGTGGGGACAGGTATCCCTTCCAGGAGGTGTGGACTCTCCTGAAGCGTCCCCGGTCTGGTTTAACCTGTTCCTCCCCACTGTTCAAAGATAGAGCTAAATAGGCTCCATTAGGAGCCTTTGGTATTTTAAGTGTTCAAAGCTTACAATCACTTGTAGGGACAGCTTGACAGTTTCTGTCAAGCCTAAGAGCTGAAAAATCACTTGAGCTTCCACCCAGCTCTTAGAGACTGACCTGCAGAGGTCATAGCAGAGAGGCAGGTGACAGAAGGTGACTGGCTAGCGAAAACAAGCAGCTGGCTGGGCGGCCAGCAGTGCAGAAGTACTCAGATGGTGGAGCAAGCAAGGTGCCTTCTTCCCTGGATGGGAGGTGAATTCACACAGATGCACCTCTGAACTCTGGGTCCTCACTGACCAAGGACAATCACTGTGAGTGGGGTATGGCGAGGGAGCAGAGAGGGGCACAGAAAAGGAACTGTTGGCTGTAGAACCTAAGAACATAAGGCAGAAGACACTGCTCCATGCACTCTGGGGTGGGTGTCCTGTTCACAGTTTTAGGTTTATGAATCCTGATTGTGGCATTTTCCCTAATCAATGTCAGATGACTTTCCTCCTTTCATTAAAAGTTTCTTATCTATACTCAGATTCTGTGCTTGTGAGTGGGGAAGTATTGCCTCTCAGAGACACCCAGGGGTGGTGTGTAATTTTCCCAGGTTACTGGGTGGGGGCTCAAACCCCTGTATATTGAACCCAGCCCTGGCTGCTGCTGGCTCCACCTGGCAGAAGGGTTACATAAAGGTTATCACTGACATTTTCAAAGCTGCTGCCATTAGCTTTAATGGGAACTGACCACCCACATCTCTTAGGCAGAGGTTTTGAAAATTGGAAGACAGCAACCAAATTCCCCTTAGGGCTTTGAGAATCTCACCCTACATGCCGATCTAAAATACTGTTCTCCTTCTCCCAAACCAAACGGACCCTTATCTCCTCCAAGCTCGGTCTCACAGCTTTTTATGCAGGCCAGGAGAACAGAGTGGCAACTGGGCATGTAGGGAAACGTTTTGGGTTAGAATTGTTAACATTTGTCAATGGATTCCCAGTTATTGCATGGCAACTCAATTTCAGAGAAAGAGTATGTCTGACTGCAGCTGGTAGTGAGCCTCCCAGATAGACAAGATTAAGCTAGCTTGGCTCAAGCATGCTAAAACTAGCCATGCAGATATGGTAGCACTGGCAGAGGCCTGAACTAGCTACCCAATCTCAGATCAATGGCATTGGGTGGGCTTGAGAGCCTGAGCCTGCCACCCATGTTGTTAATTTCACACTGCTATTTTTAGCATGCTAGCTCAAGCCAAGCTAGTGTGAGTATGTCTACAAGGCTCACTGCCAATGGTGGTGTAGACATACCCATAGAGGGTCAAGTCCTTCACAGGTATAAATCAGGGTAGCTCCCTTGACTTTCCCTCTCCCCACTGACTTCAATGGAGCTACCCTGATATTTTGAAGGAGCAAATATAGAGACACAGTCAGGACTATTTTCTCCCTCAAAGTTATACAGAATACATTTATAGTTTAATGAAAAAATAATAGTTTTTGATTGCCCAGCAAATAAATGTGGTGTATGAAATTTGGATCAACATTTTCAAACTTGGGTGCCTAAATATGGCTTTGGATATCTAATTTCAGACAGCCACGCTATACATTTTGGCCATCTCGTCCTCCTTGCCAAAGGAAGTATGAAAATCTAACCATTAAAATCTGTAATTCAACTTGTACAGACTGTGAGCACATTCTTGAAACCAAGAGATTGCTTGGAAAGCTAACATTTCGCCTCAGACTCTCTCATTTGCCAGCAGAGCCACAGTTCATTTTACATGACAGCAGCGATGTTTCTCACGGGTGCTAGAGAAGCACAGCCACATAATTGGTTACTGTTGCTTATTAAAGTTAGAAGTGGTAAGAGACTAAGTAATCTTCATTGTCTCTGTCAGCGTTATAAAAATACACCCAATCCAATTCCTTCTACTAAAATGGCTGAGGAAGTGGTGAGCAGTGCTTTGTATTACTATAAAGTGGCTGAATAGGTGTTTCTTAATAGACCTTTAAAAACTAATTTAGTTTGCTCTGATACACTTTTGAAATTGCTTGTTTTAATTCCCTGCTTTTCCCTGTTCTGACAGAAGTATTTTTTCAGTAACCCAAACACACACAACTAGAGAGTTCTCTCAACTTTGAAGCAGACACCACAATTAACTCCCCTCCCCCCCCCCCAGTACTCCTTGATAAATGTATTTCACAGTATTCAGCTTTTAAAGTCTATTTGGAAATTGCAACCAAGAAGCATCATAGACTCAGAGAAAGAAAAGACCTATCAGTTATCCAGTCCATCTCCCTGAAAAAGGAAGACTGTGTCCTACCAAAATCACCAATAGCTGACTGCGAGCAAGGGAGGCAAGTGCCCTCCCTCACTCTTTCAGCCCAGTTCATCCAGGCAATCTGCTTCTCGCATCCATGCAGGACATCCCCCACACCAACAGCAGCTCCAACTATCCAGGAACAGATACTTCAAAGTCCAGCTACCACCACCAGCTGGCCAGGCATAAGGGAGATACAACCTTTTCAGCCTCCAGGATTTGATTCTTCATTTTGCACACTACCCCTGAGATGCCTCTCATCTCCCACACCACTTTCAGGGAACCTAAAACACTGTGAAGGCCACAACCTTAACCCCATGAGCACAACATTACTGCATCCCCAGTCTCTTTGGGACAAGGGCTTCCAAGGTGAGTGTTTTTGTCTATCTTAGGTACTTATATACCCCCTATCACTAGGGTATTTGAACACCTCCCAAACTCGAATGAATTTATTCTCACACCACGCCTGTGAAGCAGAAAAGTGCTGGCATCCCCACTGTACAGCTGGGAGACTAAGTGACTTGCCCACAGTCCCAAACCAACACCCTAACCACTGGACCATCCTTCCTCTCTGGTAGGTTAGGCCCAACTACCCCTTGATACCAGCATGTATGTCTGTGTGTAGCTACAGGTGACAGAACATGACTGCCTGGGTTATTACTTATAACACAGTAGTGCCTGTGAGGCCTAATCAGGATGGGGGGGGCATTGTACTAGGTGCTGTACATACACACACAGACATGATCCTGGCTCTGCAGAGCTTACAATCCAAGAAGACAAGTGACATATGAAGGGTGTGGGGGGGAGAGGAATACAAGTCAAATACATACAATTTTTATATACAGATATCCAGTTGAAAACTTAAAAAATAGTTATAAATACATAAAACAAGAGCCAAATAACCCCATCTGTGCATCACACATCATTAACTAGTTGATTTCTTATAGGCACTGAGGCCCAGGTGGGACTTGGATATATTTTGAGGAGGAGAGGGAAATGGTTTATGGATCAGTCTGTGTGCAAGGGGAAAACATGGAAGTGGGCATGGAGATGTTTGTGAGAAACTGCGAAATAGTAGGAGGTGACTGGCATCACTGGGGAGCAGAGACCGGGAGGGTGACGTGTTGCAAGACTAGAACAGACAAGCAGAGAGGGACAAAGCTGAAGAGCTTTGATACTGAGTATAACTCCGAATAAAAAAAATAAAAAATCCAATGAGGCAAGAGTTGGTGAAGATCTGAAGTGTTCAATGCACTACATGAACGGTATTCTAAGATGAGACTCCATCCACTTACAAACTAAAAAATTCCCAGATGAATAGCTATTGTATCTACCATAACTACAAAGAGCCTTAACTACTGTATAGCTATTACTTGGAATCAATCCATACACATCGTGTTTGGAAGGTAATGTTGCCCAAGGATATCATTTGTTAACGGTCCACAAAATTCCACACAATTGAGGCACCTTCTTGACAAACTGATTCCCAAACACATTTGTCTCCATAAGCCCAAGAGTCTTCTACTCCAATTTTTAATACTATTGTAGTGTGCGGTGCTTTACATTCTGCAATGATTGCAGCATAAGCTAGATGCAGGCTTGAATTTATACAAGTCGGAGTTCACTCTCGTGCAGAACTAGGAGTTTAAAGATTATGCCGACTTCAGAAGCTAGAGTGACAATTTTTCCACCCTGTGAGCTTTAGTGTCACTTCTAACTCACCAGGTCCTGGTCTAAAGCATCAGGTACAGATTTACTTCTTAAGCTTACAGCATCCTTGTTTTCTTCTGAGAAAGACCCACTCAAATCTATCTCAGATCTGCTGAGATCTGGAAAACAAAGGGGAAAGGAAGGTGTTCATTAATATACAATTTATACAACAAACACTGTTCTTTTCATATTGTCACCTTTTAGTAGTTGTTGCTACAACACCAAAATGATTTTTTTTTAAATCAAATCAAAATAATCTCCATCAAGGTATTTGTGCCATGGCACCCAATTGTGGTATCTGAGCACCTTCAGCTGAATGATGGAAAAATAATTTTTACCATAATATTCAACTTTTTGGATACCTCCCTTCCCTCAGTACTATTATGGGCTATATGGGTCTGTCCCCTATGGGTCACACGCCATTCAGCCTTTGGCCTTCTCATGCAGGGCCACCTGCTTGGGTCATTATGATATCAGGGACATAGGCAGCAGGAGCTCTGGATGAATCTACACGTTCACAATGACTCCTGCAACCCTTCACCTCAGCAAATAAGAAAAAAAAAACCCAGAGTCCGAAGTTTCAATGTTGAGTGAATGATGATACGGTGACCCTGGGAGCTCCTCATACCAACAGGCCCGTGGAGTATATCCATTATCATAATTTTGCCCATGATGTAATAAACTGGTACCCTGGCATTACCTTTTGCAGTAACTCACTACAGGCCTGACACACTCATTGGCCCACCACACTGTTGTCATGATATTCATTTAAGACATGTTTTGTAATATATCATTTGAAAATTAAGAACATGCTGGTCATTAATGACACTGGGAAATGTAGGTAACACAACTGTATGTGAAAGTATGGATACTCTCTGTTATTGTGTTTTGGAGTCTGTAAACAGACAAAGGAGGTAAAACGGGTTTTTTCCTAGACAAAGGAATCAGTGTTTCCTCTAATTTTTTGGAAGTGATGTGTGACACCTTAATATTGGTGCACATAACCAAATTCATGTGGTGGGGGGTGGGGCTGAGGGGTTCGGAGTGTGGGAGGCGGCTCAGGGCTGGGACAGAGGATTGGGGTGCAGGCTCTGGGGTGGGGCCAGGGATGTGGGGTTTGGTGTGCAGGAGGGTGCTATGGGGCTACATCAGGGAGAGAGGACTCCCGCCAACTCTGTCTCCCTGCAGCAGCACCCTGGCTGGCAGCTCTGGGGCTGAGGCTCCAGGATAGGTGCCCCTGCCCGGGCAGGTCCAGGCTGGGGCCGGGCTGGGGGAGGGGCACCCGGGCTGCGGCAAATCAGGGCACCCCAGCCATGGCAGGTCCAGGCTGCGGCTGGGTTCAGGCCAGGGGAGGGGTGCCCCAGCTGCGGCAGGTCCCCAGGCGGGTTCCCTGAGCACCTGCACAGCACTAAGTAGGCTCTTGCACGGCCGCGCAGCTTACAGGGAACTTAGAAAGGAATGTTTATTTATTTGTCTGACCTGCTTGATCACAGGCAACTACGTTTACATATAAGGTAAACAAAGCCATCAAGCTAAAAAGCAGGAGAGAAGACCACTTAACGATGACAATGAAGGACAGAATCTGCAGCCCAGGAAGTCTTCCTGGCTCTTGAGACAGAGACAATGAGCGTTGGTCAATATAAGACAAGCAAAAAGATTTCACCCCCCCACCCCCATACACACACAAACTCACTCTCCTGCTGGTAATAGCTCATCCAAAGTGACCAGTGGTCAGTTTGGATGAGCTATTGCCAGCAGGAGAGTGAGTTTGTGTGTGTGTGGGGGGGGGGGGGTGAGAAAACCTGGATTTGTGCTGGAAATGGCCCAACTTGATGATCACTTTAGATAAGCTATTACCAGCAGGAGAGTGGGGTGGGAGGAGGTATTGTTTCATGGTCTCTGTGTATATATAATGTCTTCTGCAGTTTCCATAGTATGCATCTGATGAAGTGAGCTGTAGCTCACGAAAGCGCATGCTCAAATAAATTGGTTAGTCTCTAAGGTGCCACAAGTACTCCTTTTCTTTTTTAGAAAGAATTAGGACTACTAATGAACACTTACCTGATGCTAGAGATGCCCTAGAAACTGCTATTGAAGGTGTTCCAGATGCATTCCTACAGTGTTTCTTCACTAAATCTTCAGGTACACTTTCACTTGCAGGCACAAAAGGGCCATTTTTTAAACCAGGGTCCTGCTGAATAAGAATAATATATATTCCATAAGCATCGAGTCATATACGAGCAAGCTTATTTATGGTCAGTCTGAGGCAGCACCATTACAGTCTAATTCCCATAACCCAAAAGAACACTATGAGTACACGATCACTTATTAAATATTTGTATTATAATTAATCAGCATTGGGGCCCCATTGTGCTCGACATAATACAAAGGGAAATGACAATGCAATCCCTGCATACAACCTCAGCTTTCACTTTAAGGGGACAAGTGGGGCAGGAAGGGTGGAGGGAGGCAAGGAATACAATCAAATATATACATTTGCCATTTTTCAAAATTATAAATATACCCGATCTACACAGTTTTTATACAAATACAGCTTTGTTAGTCAGGAGTGTGACTCATCTGACATAACTATAGCGGCACAGTCATACTAGTAGAAAAGTATTTAATACCCGTGCAGTTCCTATACGTAAATAGCTACAGCTATAACTGCATCCACACTAGAGCGGTTATACAACTTTTGTGCATAGACAAGGCCATAGACAAAGTAAGTGCCAATTTACTTATTTGCCCCTGAGCCAAGCCAATATAAATTTACTGTCATGGTACAGGTGGTTCATAAGGAGAATCATAGAATATCAGGGTTGGAAGGGACCTCAGGAGGTCATCTAGTCCAACCCCCTGCTCAAAGCAGGACCAATCCCCAATTTTTGCCCCAGATTCCTAAATGGCCCCCTACAAGGATTGAACTCACAACCCTGGGTTTACCAGGCCAATGCTCAAACCACTGAGCTATCCCTCCCCCCAGATCTGAAGGAGAAGAAATGGTAGAGCCCTTAATGATGAATTCAAGGAAGGCATTCTGTGTATAAAGGACAGCATGGAAGAAGGTGCAGAGAGCAGCTGAAAAACATACAGGCATCTAATGTACAGAAATAAGAATATTATAATCAAACACATGTTATTACCAATTATTGTGCAAGGCACTGGCAGAGACACAAAAGAAGGCAGAATCCTTGCTCCGAATAGCTTTTACTCTCAGAATATAGACAGTAGGTAGGAAAAGGGGGAACAACAAAATATTAAGGTAGTCAGCTGGTGATGTAGTGGTTGGCTACCTGCCGATAATGTAAAGTTTTTAACACAAAGGTAAACAAACTTATCCTACCCACAATCTGTCTGTTTTGAAATTTTAGAGTGTAAAGTCCTCGGAACACAGACTGTGCTTTCTTTTGTATTTGGGTAGTACCTAGCATATTGTGGATGCTACTGGATATAAACAACATCATAGGTTTGATAGCATATGCTGGATCATATGAATTTGTGGGTTTTCATTGTTAAATATCCCTAACAAAAAAGACTAGCAATTGTTCTAGCCAAGAAAGACATCCTGTTACGTGGGGCGAAGGGGGGGGGGGAGACTACATCGTAATTAAAAAAAAAAGAAACCTTTGGTGCATATGTAACAACTACAAGAACTACTAGAGAACCATAGGCAACATGAAGGAAGCTGGTCATGATATCAGTATCTGTAGACAGATTGCAATGTCCCACCTCTAGCAATCTATCATGGAAGCCACTGGGAAGAAAGCATACCTAAGAAAGGTTCCTGCCTTTACAATGTCCCGGACTTTACTAAGCATCACACCTGTATAAAATGAAGTGGCAAGTCACTAACAATTAAAAGCTTTCCCTCCTGCATGCCAGAATCAGGCTAATGGCAACACTGCTTATTAGGAATCAGACTGACTATTCAGACTCATTTCTGCAGCTGAGATATGGTTAGCACTTGCAGCTGAACCTCTCTATGCCTGCCTTTGGCAGCTCTGTATTCAGGAAAGGCAGGTCGTTCTCTCTCAACAACACAATGTTAACTCACTAACTGATGCTCAGCACAATTGAGATGAACATCCTGGAGCTCAAAGTGAAGTGAAAGAGGTATTTTTATAATCATGTGGAAAAAGCGTCATTGATCCAACTGAAGGTAATTCTGGCTACTGTCTTCTAGGCATTTGCAGGCACTTTTTTCCATTACAAATTTTGTCCACATTATCAATTAAAATATATGCATAGTCAATATTAAAGCAGGAGAATAAAAAACAGAACAAGAAACTATCTTGATGGACAGAGTGAATCTCAAAAGCTTGCCAATTTTTAGTTAGTCCAGTAAAAAAAAAGACCACATAAGATGTAATGGGGGATTTATATCTATCTATATACAGAGAAAGTAATATCTTTTATTGGACCATCCTATGTTGGTGAGAGAGAGAAGCTTTCGAGCTACACAGTGCTCTTCTTCAACTGGGCTATATCTTGTCTCACTCTCACCAACAGAAGTTGATCCAATAAAAGATATTATCTCAGCCACCCTGTGTCTTTAATATCCTAGGACCAACACAGCTACAACTACACTGCATATACTGTATACACACAGAAGCAAGGTGGGGAAGGTAATACCTTTTACTGGACAAACTTCTCTTGGTGAGAGAGACAAGATTTCAAGCTACATAGAGCTCTTCTTCAGGTCTGGGAAAGGTACTCTGAGCATCACAGCTAAATGCAAGGTGGAACAGATTGTTTAGCATAAGTAGTCAACACATATTCTAAGGGCGGCAAAGAGTCCTATGGCACCTTAGAGACTAACAGACGTATTGGAGCATAAGCTTTCGTGGGTCACCCACAAAAGCTTATGCTCCAATACGTCTGTTAGTCTCTAAGGTGCCACAGGACTCTTTGCCGCTTTTACAGATCCAGACTAACATGGCTACCCTTCTGATATTCTAAGGGACCAGTCAAGTTGAAGTGGCTCATTAATGCCCCTGTAGTCATAGAACAAAGCTTGCTCTCTCTCTCACACACTCACACACACATCTCTCTTCAGGAAACACTTAAGTGTCAGGTGGGATTAAGTTAAAACAGGGAATCTCAGTCAGTGTTAGTACAAAGGCTGCAGTCATTGCAAAATCTAAAATCAGACAAATCTCAAGGATAGTTGCCTTCCTGAAAAAATAAATGAAGGATAATTATTATTACATCCTTCTCAGATCAACATTTGTGCACAGGGCAGAAACTAGTCTCTTCCATCCCTCTGTCATTAGCTGCTGTTTCGATCTGCTCTATACTGTTGGGATCAACTGTTCTGCCCTTGCTGCTAGTGGTTGTTCTTAAAACTTCTCTTCGGTGTCCTTGTTTCCTCACACTAGTTGGTTTCCACTTAAAAGCTTCATGTGGGAGTCTGGGTGTTGGCAGCTGGAGTATTTGCCCCAAATATGTCCAGCACTTCCTTCTGATTCTAGTGGAGATAAGCTGCTTGTTGGTGATTTGTCTCATCTTTTAATTGGCGCTAAAGTCTCTCCATCCAATGCCCAGAATCTTTTGTAGGCACTTAATTTCAAAGTCATCTAGTTTCTAACGTTTTAAGAGCTCACCAGCTCTCGCAGCTGCATGTTAGCACTGAGATTACATTTACATTGAAAATTCTGAGTTTTGTTTTGGTAATGTATATCTTTGATTTCCATAGTTTGTCAAGTTTAGTGAATGCTGTGGATGCCTTTCCTAGCCTTGATGTCACTTCTTTCCTGTGGTCTCTCTTGGCTAGTATATAGGGTCGCCAACCCTCTAGGATTGTCCTGGAATGTCCAGGAATTAAAGATTAATCTTTAATTGAAGATTATGTCATGTGATGAAACTTCCAGGAATGTATCCAACCAAAACTGGCAACCCTACTAGTGTAGTACTGCCCAGATAAATGAACTGTTCTACTTTCTTGAGGTTTTTGCCTTCTATTACGACGATACTGCTTGATGTCTGGGTTTCAAGGATGTTTGATGACCCCTCCTTGGCCTTCGCAAAGGCATCTGCCTTCGTAGCTTTTCAGGAGTGTTGCTTGATAGCATGATAACATCAGCAAAGTCTAGGCCTTCTAGGCATTTGCCATTATCCATGACATGCCAGTGTTTGTGTTGCTCATGCACATCTTCATTATTCAGTCTATGGCGATGCAAAACAGCAGCAGAGATAGAATGCAGCCAGGCCTCATGCCAGTAACAACAATGAACCACTCTGTTGTTTGGTTTTTCACCCTTCCATCGCATTTTGCTTCACTGTACAACGCTGTGATGATGATGATGACTTTAGCTGGAATTTCATAAGACTGAAGACTATTCCGCAATGTATGCCTATATAGGCTGTCAAATACCAATTTCACTGATTTTTTTTTTCAAAAGGTAAGGGGAGCTTGGCATTTTATATGTTTGTCTACTACAGTCCTTAGTGTGAATATCTGATTTACACATGATCACTTGGGCCTAAATCCAATCTGTTCTTCCCTAAGCATTGCATCCACTGCCTCTTTTTTCTGTGTAGTTGTAGTATTTGCAATAAAGAAGATTTTCCCTACAAAAGAGAGTAGTGTGACTCCTCTCCAGTTGTTACAGTCAGTCAGATCACCTTTTTGGGGGCAGTCTGACAATTAATCCATGTTTTCACTGGTCGAGGGGGAGGTTTTTTTCCTGAGACTTCGCTGAGCCGTTCTGCCAGTTTCATTAGTCTAGTAACGTCATGTGCGCTTAGCATTTCTGCTGTGATTGGATCATCAGCCTCGGCTTTGTTGTTTTTCAGCGTCTTGATTGCAGCTTCTGACATCTCTATTGGACCGATGTTGAGATCAGGATGATTAGCTGCTATAAAACATTGTAAGGCAATTTTGGAATGAGAAACCTCCACAAATGTTAGGGATTTGTACTAATTAAGCAGCAGTAAGAACAATTTCCTTGATCACATTGCCCTGCTAAATGACTGATGGGGGGTTATATCTTTTACCCAACACAACAGAACTACATGAAATAGAATTGTACTAAAAGACTGTATTCCTGCCTGGCACTTTCAAAACCTGCACACGTACATCACTGCTTATAAACAGATGTCTTGCAACAGCTATCACTTCTTTATTAGGTCCTGCCATTTTTTTAAAAAAAGCAACAAAATAGAGATTGACATTAGAATGTTTGTACCAGGGGGGCTTGGAAGGCCAGCTGGAGTGCAAGACTTCCTGCCCCCTGCTTCTGTGGTCGATGTGCCTCAGCCTTTAAGGAGGGAGGGTAGCGGGACCCAGGCCCTCCAACTCCACTGTGTCCCAGCCCAGGCCCTGTGTAAGTCAACCTCTGAGTAAAGGAGCTCTCAGCGGGGAGTCTATGTCCACTGCCCTGGGCTACTTCCCACTGTTGCCCCTTCAGTTTGGTGTGTAGCCCCTATAGTACAAGTTCCTGTGATGCTTGTCTCTAGTATTGCCCCCCTGGGCAGCATCCTGCTGCGGTCCCAGCTTCCTCTGGCAGGGCAGCCATATGCTTTGTGGGGTGGGAACCCCCGTCAAGATCTCACTGCTTCAGAGACCCTGGTTCCTTGTAAGCTGGGTGCTCCTACACGTCTTTCGCTGCCTCTTTTGGCCAGGAAGACGGTGCTTGGTTCCGGTGGCTACTTCGGGTAGCAAGCTAGTGATCCTTCCCTCAGGTAGGGAAGCAGCTAACACCTCCCTCTTCAACAGTCAGCCCCGAACAGAGCAAAGCTCCCTCGTCTCTCCCCTCCAGGCCTGGCACTGGCTGCAGGTGGAACGGGGCAAAGCTAGCTGGGCCCAAAGGCTCTCTTTAATCCCTTCCATGCTGATGGGCAGTTTCTCTGCTTCACCACACTGTTGTTCAAAAATCAGGACACACTTGGAATTGTGAGGAGAGGATCTGACTGCGATGGAACCGCTCAGCAACCTAGCATTTGTGCAACTGGGATTCGTTAGTACTACAGATCAAACTTGTCCTGAATGAAGGAGAGAAATCTTTGGAAAGACTCACTATCCCAGAAGAAACAACACACCAATAACAGGAGGACTCCTTCCCCAGAACATAAGTTCATTTATGCGAAGAAAGGAGAAGGTCCTTCCTCTCATTCACTTTGCTGTCATGCTTAGGCCCTGCCAGGGAAGGCGGATATGGCATTCAAGAATGTGGCAATACCTCTGAGGGAAAGAAGTGGTGCTTCCTCCTAGGGCCTTAGAGAGCTTAGCACAGCATCCAATCCTTAACTGACCCTTTGATCACGAATCCTGGACAAAGGTACAAAGACATTTAAGAAGCTAGGCCCAGAAACCACTTGGATGTTCCCTTTCATGCCCAGCACCAGCCAGAGGGGTTCTGGGAGCAGCTTTAAAGTCCCAACTTTGGGAGCCTGGAGCTCTGCACAGTACCCACAACAGAAGCAAGTCCTTCACACCTGTACCAGCCTCCTGATGTCAACAAAGCCTTCAAACTTGAACTCCTGTGACTCAGTTTTTCTCAGCTGGTTGCCTACCTGGCTCTCCTGTCAATTCCTTCTGCTATCCTCCCACTCTTTTCCTTCAATCTTTCCCTTCACAGCCTCCCTTGGGTTAAAACCTTGTGGAAACTGATGGGTGTGGATGCACCATTACATCTTAAGTAGTAATTTTTAACATTTAAGTAATAACGGTCAATAACAGGACATTTTAGAATGAGAAAAAATGTTTGTCAATCCAAAAACCAGGTAATTGACAATGAGTTTAACAGATTTCATTATGGTGAGAGACTGTCACTTGTCACAACAGGATTAAGGAATAAATAGCATTATCTTTGGCAGGCTTAGCCTTTCTTGGTTGCAAGCTCATCAGATACTGACTGTGGTGTACATGGTTGTGGTGTCAGTGATGTCTGAGGGGGACATGTGTGCAGCTAGTAGCATTGCCACATTTACCCTGCCATAATCTGAAGTCACGCTGCGTGTGCTCAGTGCTGGTGACCTCGGATGGACTGGAGTGGAGGCATTGCTTCGGTTCCCAGAACTCACTGTGCCTTTCATGTTACCGGGAAGGGTCTCCGGGTCATTGTTGTTCAGCGAAAGAGTGCTCCCCCTGAGGAGACAGGACAAACAGATCCCTGCTTTCAAAACATTGGCAACACAGCAAGTGGGAAAAATAGGAAACAAAGTTTACTAGAACTATCTTATATCATATAAACTACATGTGATCTACTGTAAGGATGGATCAGCTACAAACACCACATAGAAAGCATCTGGTGGCATGGAAGGGAAGAATTAGGTGACGGTTGGTTGGAGATATTGTCTGTATACATTGCTTGATGCATTTATTCTCAGAATTAGGAAATTTTTAAACATCTCTCTGGCATACAGCATTAATATAATCCAAGAACTATACAAGATTTGTTTTCCTGCATGTTTATTTCATAAGTACACTTATTTCCAGCAGCTGATTCATTGGTTCTGCACATGGCATTCCCCATCACACTGCCCCTTGCTTCGCAATAGAAGTTACTGCGGCATGATGGTTCTGGATACACCTGCAGATTCTTTCAGTGCCAACAGACACTTCCGGTGAGTCGGCTGGCTCAGCTGCTCCAAACCTCTCCACCTATCTGTCTGCTCCTCAAGAGGGACAATGCGCCGCACTGTCCCATTTACCTTGTACTAAGAGTTCCTGGCCTGACCGGGCTAGCAGTTCCTACATGACTCGGCTCACTAGTGAAATCACATCACATTTTTTTGCAAGCTTGCAGCCATTCAACAAACCTGACAGAAAGGAACAGCGTTCAGAATACAGGAATCAGACTATTAATACTCAACAGCGTTATCATCTCTAAATGGGCACCGATACAGTAACCCAAGTCCCTGCCAGGAGGAAAACCTGATCACAGAAGATCCTGGGATAACAATAAAAAGGTGACGGAAGGAAAACTGAACTGAATTGACATTTTCACCCACATAAACAAAATGTCACTAGCCTGCTTAATAAATCTTCAGGGGTCTGTTGGAGTTCCCTTCATGCTAGACACGACACATGAGGGACACCTTTGCTTGGTTCATCCCGTCATATCATGTTTTGAATAACTGCACTGAAAACCCCTTTTGCCACATTGGAGACTTTTATAAGAGCTGCTGCTGAACTGAGGAACAAAATTCTTGACTGTGACAGCTCATGTCCCTCTAGTAACTTAAGTTAGAATACAGATTCATGAGACCAGTGTTGTATTCAGACTGAACATATCCTATTTGGAGAGTTTAATACCCCTTAATAAGAAAAACACTTTGATGACTTATCTGTGAATGTAAGACTAAAATACTCTGCCACCCCAAAGAAAATTAAATATTTTAGGAACAGCAAGGAGGTGACCGGTGTGTACTGAAAACCCCTGGATTTTAGTTCAGTGATGACTCCATTATCTTGACGTGTTTGTGAAAAGCTCAGATCAAAGAATAATGTTTAGGGTTCTCTCCCAACCACCTCCCCTCTCCCCACTGCTTATATAAAGACCTGACTCAGTACTATTAGGAAAGAAAGCTAAAATTATTCTGTGTCAACTGTGTTCCAGTGTCACTGTTGGGTTTGGATTCTCAGACCTCCCAACTTTCAAACTTGCAATACAAAATAACCAGAATGCGGAACACTTGGGTTTTGTTGAATGTTGCACCATAACTGAAAGATTGTAATGGATTTTAAACTATAAAACCTGTTCTTTAGGATGTTTTCTCACTATAGGAATTAAAAATAAAAGTTGTTCAAAAAAAAAGCTAGAGAAACAAATTCCATAATGTGTAACCATAAGAACACCTATGTGCATCATCAACCGGATTTGAAACAAGGACTTTCAGACATGCAACACAGACCTCTGCTACTTGAGCATATTTTCTCCTTTACTTCTGTTTGGGTCAACTGCTAGAGGGGAATGCGACAAAACAAAAAAAATTCGTTTACAAAACTATTTGCTAGACAGTGATGAAACACTGAGAATCAGGATTTGTTGATTCTGTTCCTGGCTCTGGGAATATGTCTACATGGAGTCAGAAGGTGTAATTTCCAGCTTGAGAAGACATACCAATGCTAGCTCTAATCAAGCTAGTGTGCTAAAAACAGAAGCACAGTCACTGTGGTGCAGGCAAGCAAGAGGGCCCAAACATGCACCTAGGCAGGGCCGTCTTTGGAGTGGGGGGTGCAGGCCCTGGACAAATCATCCTCCACCGGCTTGGGAGCCTTGCTCTGCATCAGCGACAGTTGGGGGGCCAGCTGCACTGCAGCACCCCTTACACTCCTAGTTCCTGCATCTATGTCTTCCGGGACCAAGCACGCCGGCCAATCACACTGGCCTGCAGGGCCCCCCAAAGCGCAGGGCCTGGAGCGGTCGCCCTGATTGACCCTACCCAAGGGACAGCTCTGTACCGAGGGTCTTGGATAAGATCGTGCTCAGGCGGCTAAACTGTCCCACTGCTCACACAACCATGGCTACACTTCTGTTTTAGCATGCTACCTCGAATAGAGCTCACAGGAGTATGTCGACTCAAGGCAGAAATTACACGTACCAGCACCAGTGTAGACATACCCTGGGAAGGGAGGCAGTCCTGCAGTTATTACCAACGTGTTAGCCAAGCACATAGATTGCTGTTCATTCAGTCTGAAAGGGCAGCGTGGCTAAGTAAATGAGATTTAGGTCTCCATTTTGAAGACCTTGGTTCTTTTACCATTTATGCTAGAAGTGACCTTCCGCAGCCTCGTACTGAATTGTCAAATACCCATGTATCTTTGTTGGGGTGGGGTAAGCCAGTGGAAGAAGGGAGCTCATGACATTCTGGCTCTCAGACCGGTGCACCTTTCCCTAAACCGAAGGGGGGTGGAGTGAGAGTATATTCACATTCTTTTCTTCCTTCCCTTTTGTTAAATACTGTTTTTTATTTATTTTTTATTTCATTTGATTCTACATTTTCTTTCACATATAGTGCCATTCCCCCTTCCCCCGCACGACCTGTTCTGTCCTTCCGATATATTTTGTACCCCAGAATGACTGTGTCCCAATCCACCCCACAATGATTGTGTCCTCACTCCACCAGGTTTCTGTGATGCCTATTATATCAATATCCTCCTTTAACATGAGGCACTCTAGTTCACCCATCTTATTATTTAGACTTCTAGCATTTGTGTACAAGCACTTTAAAAACTTGTCACTGTTTATTTGTCTGCCCTTTTCTGATGTGTCAGCCTCTTTATGTGAATGTTTCTCATCTGATCTGGCCCATACTTTATCCTCTTCCATCCCCTCCTCCTAACTAAAACCTAGAGAATCTCTATCGATAGACTCTCCTCTAAGAGAAGTCTCTGTCTGATCCATGTGCGCCTCTGCAGCAATCACCCTCCCCCGTCTCTTAGTTTAAAAACTGCTCTTTGCAATTCCAAGCAGATGTATAGGATGGTTAAGAGAGACTTTGATGCTATTTTTAACAATTAGTATTTAACTCTTTAAATTAACAGAGTATACATAATAAATGTACCTTATGTATGTGGCATTGTTACTTTTTTAATCTGATGAGCTATGAAGAAGATACTATACTGTAAGCATCAACATGAGCTGCTCCCTAGTCATTCCAGACACCACTATCTCAATTAATTCAACCTTTCCTGTAGGCAGTGAGGTAATTCAGTCATCCAGAGTCCCTCCTGAACACACAGACATGTAAAGATGTGCCTTTAGTAGCTCTATTGATAGAAGTCACTGATTTGGATGGTGAGGCTGAGATGATGGAAGAGGTGAAAATTGCCATGCTGAATCAACACTGATTGAAGAAATCCTGAATCTTGCCTAGGGCCGAGGCCACTATGTGATGTTTAGACCCACTTACAACCCACCAGAGCATTCCTAATGCCCATGGCCTGCTTCAACACAATATACGAATGGCCAATTCATTAGCATTTTGTTGTCATGTTTACATCATTTTAGTTTACATAAGTGTATAAATAGACAATACTGTACATAAAAACAACTTGTCTAAATACATATAAAACAAGCTGAATTTAAAATATAAATCAATACAGATGACTTTAAATCTTATTAAAATATGTAAAATTTGTTTGGCCCACACAAAGTTGTGCTCAGGTTCATGTGGCCCTCCTGTGTAATAAGGTTGGGCACCGTTATTTTAGATGACGCCCAAAGGGGAAAGTACTTTTGAAGGTTCTGATGAGTACCTGTAAGTTTGCCCTCTCTCTCTCTAAGGGTATGTCTATCCTGCAGGTGAAGGTGAAATTGCAGCCCAGCAGGCATACTCATGCTAGCTTTCACCTGGCCAGAACAGCTAGCTATAGCAGTGTAGACATGCCATCATGGGCTAGAAACCAGACCAGAAGTCTGCTCGAGGTTCTGGACACGTGCTCTGGTTACTAGCTTGTGCTGCCACACCTACACTACCTTTGCCACCCATGATTAAAGATAGCACAGGTATGCCTACTCATGCTACAATCACACCTTAACTTGCACCGTAGACATAGTCTACGGCTACATCTACACTACGAGCTCAGGGTGTAATTCCCTTGCTAGTGCACACGTTCCCACATTAGCTCTGACTGAGCTAGTACAAGTATGAATGGTAGTGTAGCCACAGAAGCACGGGTTACAGCAGAACAGGGACAGTTTAGCCATGCTGAGCACATATCCATCAGTTTCAGGCAGATTTGTACTTGGCCTGGCTAATCCATGCCTCTACAGCCACTATCCCTGTGACCACAACTACCCTGCTACTTATACCCATAATAGCTCGATGGGAGTTAGTGCAAGTATCTGTACTTACAAGCAGGGGAATTACACGCCTAGCTCGTAGGCCTAGACATAGCCGAAGCTTTTGTACCATGCTCACTGCGGCGTATCTGAATACCCACTGCAAAGTCTATTCTGCCTGCTTTGCAAAACACATACTACAGAAGGGAATTTTAATGAACTGGGTGATCTAATTGCTGTTCTATCTTTGCATCGTACCAATGCTAAACAGTAAGACAGATTCTTGAAAGCAAAGCTCTCTGTCACCCCAAACCTTCCAGTTAAGCAGAAAAAAAATACAGGTACAAAACAAAAAAGA